AGGGGAACACGCCAGAGATGTGGTGCCTGAGCCCCATCAGACATCTGGGGGCAACCCTGGTGCCAAGCACCGCACCAGGCTTTTCTCCCTCTTCATGTTCCAGGCTGGCTTTATTTCCCGATTTCAATGGATTTCTTCCCCATTCACACTCTGTTTTTCCAAGGGAAGCAAAAACCATCACATACAGAGCCACCGGGACTCCGTGGGAAATGCGAAGGGGACAATTTCACTGCCCCAGTGACAAAAGTGCTCACGACAGTCCAACACCCACTGCCCTACACTAACGTTCATTCTTCAGCATCGCTTCATTGCCAAACGCTCTGGAATCTCCGCCACCCTCATTCCCAATTTTCAGCTCTGGTGCTTTTACTCCTCCCCTTTAGGTTTGAATCCTGAGGCATTTGTCATTTTCTCAGCTTTTTTTTTAAAACTTTTTTTGAAACTCGTAACTCAGTGCCAGAACCTGCCTGGACTTGGCTGACTCGGGAGGGGCATGGAAGCAGCCTTGCAGGATTCTTCGTTACACCTCTAACATCGGAGGAAAATGCTCCTCCTACGGAGGTGAATGCTCCTCCATAGGTCTGGCTGGAGACTGAGTGTTTAATGTATCGTAAATGCATTGCTGTGAGTATTTAATGACGTATTGTAAATGCATTGCTATAAATCCAGGACATTGGAACACATGGTACAAACCAGTATCTCGTGTTCCTGATGTTACATCCCCCATCGGGTTCAGGAGAGCAGAATCGAGCACGTTTTAACCTGTAAAGCGGACAGGTCTGCAATCGCCTGGTTACCTTCTAACCAAGGGGGGGTTTTATTTTGCTGCCTGTCCCTCTGCTGCCTACAGAGGTGCAGAGAGAGGCTGGTTCACTCTGCTCTCCCGCACTGCTATGCCCGAAGATGCCACTTGCCTTCCCGTCAGGTTAACTGCAAGTTTTGGCAGAGCAAAGCTGGAAACACAGGTGGGAGGTCGGGTTCGTTGCTTGCTGTTATTTTTCAGCCTCTGTTTTGATTCTGGCTTTTTTTGCTTCTTCCAAAGCAAGAACATCCTCTGGTCCAATTGACCCAGTTTGGTGCCTGGACAAGGCGCTATCCATGTGTCTTGCTGACCTGAGTGGGGGGTTCAAGAAGGGTTTTTCCTTCCCAAGGGTTATGATGGAGATGACAGCGTTCAGCGAACACCATCGCACCACTCCCAGCTCCCCAGCAGCTCTCCCATCCTGATTCACCCATAACGGGATGCAGCAGAACTACTGCCCCCCCCAGGCTAAAACCAGATTTTAGCTGGAGCTGAGCCACGCTTTAACCCCAGCCCAAACGTGTGCCGAGAATCTCGTGGCTGGAAGCAAGCTCTCCCACGTTTTTGCTGACTCTGAAGAACACCTGCTCCATGAAAGCCTCACTGGCACGGCCTCTACGCGCAGCTGGCATCCCTGCCCGTTCACCCTGGCAGCCTCTCTTGGCACTGGCCAGAGTCCTCTACTGCCCTAAAACCCCCTTCTAACAGGGAATGCTCTCCGATCAAAAGCAGAAACCCAAACCCAAGAGGTATTTTTTCAGATGCTGTACCATCTCAGGCTACAGCCTGACCGGTGCAGCAATCCGAACGATGGCATTTCGTTATCAGTGGGGCTTTTTCTGCACCTAATCCGGGTTTCCCTTAACTGTGCACTGTTTGTTGTGGAAAGAATCGCTGGTGGGCACCATCAGGGTGGTTCCCCTCACAGCCTCGTGTAGAGGAGCTTGGCTTCACTACAGAACTTGGCGTCTGTTCGCAGCTACTCTCCCCAGGAACATATATTTTGGGAGCGTTAAGTTTCCATTTCATGTTATGTTTTTGAGGGCTACAGGGACAGACGGGAGATTGGATCAGACTGGGAAAGACAGAGTTGAGGAATGCTTTTAAAGGGAAGTCACCAACAAAATGTAAGCCTTGGGTACGAGGAGAAAGACTATGGTCTTCAGACTGAAGGAGAACGTGAAGTTAACCAGCTACTTCGAACCTCTCCCTCCCTCTACACACCAAGACCAGCTCCCATAAACAACCCTCCCACTCAGCCCAAGCCCCCAGCAATGCATTTAGAATACCCCAGCATGGAGAAGAGGGAACTGCCAAGCTTTCCAGAGGTCTTTCTAATATTTTGGGGCTTCCTTTGGCGTGCTGGCTCTTTCAGGAGACACCCCTGGGTTCACCAAGTGAACCCCGGGACCCAACGCACCCTCCCACACGCTCCGCAGCAGAAAGCGTTAAACATATCGAGACCTTTAAGTTTTCAAAGTCTTTCTGGTATTTTTCCCTCAAGGTGGACGCGTTCCCCTCCAGGTGTTTGTTCTCCAGCTCATCCCTCATGACGTTCATCTGGGCCTCCAGCTCCTGGATGCGCTCCCTCAGGCCGTGCATGGAATCCGGGTCGCTGCCGGGGTCCTGCCCGGTGCCACCCGCCTCACCGGCCACCCAGGCAGCCCCACCGTTCGCGCCTGCCATGGGGGACGCCTCTGGGTGCTGCCTCTGGTACTCATCCAGGGTCTCCTGCAGGCGCTGCAGGTTCTGGCCATAGTGCTCCTGCAAAGCCTGCAGCTCCTCGCCATGGATGACCTGCAGCTCCTTGATCTTGGCCTGGAACTTGTCCTCCAGCATTTGCATCTGCTCCAGGTGATACCGCTCCATGTTCTGCTTGTCACGGACGATGGCATCCAGCTGGTTGAGGCCCTCCGTCCTCTCGGCCTTCAGAGCATCTTCCGTCCTGTTTAGTTGCTCTATCACGTTTCGAATCTCCTCCTCGTACCGTCCCTGCAATTCACTCAAGTTCTTGCTGTGTTTATGCTCTTCTTCCTCCAAGAGCCTTCGCTGACCGTCAAGCTGGGACACCTTTGCTTTGAGATCGGCATTCTCCCGTTCGAGCATGGCGATCACCTCGCCGTACTCACCCTGCTGCTTTCTGAGCAAGTCTTCGTACTCGTCCCGCAGGAGAGAGACCGTCTTCACGCGCTCTTGGCAGAGCACATCCATGCTCTGCAAGGACTCCTTGTAGGACTTCAGCTCTCTCTCGTACTCCAGTCGGACTTTGCAAGCCGCGTAACAAACCTGAGCCTGAACAATTGCATCTTGGACTAACAAAGAGGAATACTGTTCAAGGTCTCCCATGCACGAATGATATGAAAGACTCTGAGATATCTTCAGGAGCTTCTGACGATCTCCCATCGCCTCCTCAGGAGGCAGAGAGAGTAAGGCAACGGATATTTCCTTCAGAACATTTGATTTGTCCTTTAGTTGTTGGGCGAGATCTTCCTGAATGGAAACCAGAGCTTCACTACTTCGGTCTGGCAGGCTGCCCATCTCCTCTGCTTTGGCCAGTTCCTGACATGGCACCATCTGGAGATGGCTGCCATCCCAGGAGATCTGGGCTCTTTCTGAAGCATCTTTTTGAATTTCGAGTGCTTCAGAAATCTGGTGCATAACTCTGTCAAAATCAGGAGTCCTGTAGGCTTTGATGATCTCCTCCAACATGCATTTATGCTGCTGGAGAGCTGTTTTGGTATTATGGAGGTCTTCTTCAATTGTTTTTAATCTCTGATGAAAAGATTCTCTCATTTTCTGTGCGACAAACCCAAGTTCTGCCTTGATCAACGTCGCATCTGCTACCGCACTGAGAAAACACGGAGAAAAGCCCAAACCTGTTGCTTCTGTTTTGCCCTCGGCTTCTTCTTCTCTGGTGCTCAAGTGCACTCTCAGCTCCTCCACCTGGCTCCAAAACTCCCCTTCCAGCAGCAGCTTCTTAGATAGGACGCCTGCCAAGTCAACTGCTGTATGAGAAACGTTTGCTGGCTCCAACAAAACCACTTCAGCCGTTCCCTGGATCTCTCTCAGAAGCTGAGATATCTCAGTGCTCGTGTTCTTCAGAGACTCCGCTATTTGGTTGATGAGAGAGGCCTCAAATGCCACTCTCTCCGAAAGCCATCTCAGCTGCCCGCTGTCAAACACTTCTGCTTGCTGCTCCTTGGAGACGTGCTCCTCTTCTCCCAAAAAACCTCCTTCCGGAGTGGGGCTTTCCGCGATAAGGCTGTCACTCTGCTGATACTCCGACGGGCCTGGCGCCCCTCTCAAGGCTTGGATTGCGTTCGATAAGGTCGTTTCCATGCTGGACAGAGTCACGAGGAACAAATCACCCTCTTTTTCCTTGTCTGATTTGGGCAAAGATCTTAGTTGCTCCCTGCACTTCTCCAAGCAAGTCAGCGCTTGATCATTTTTCATTTGGAAAGCTCCCAGCTCACTAACGTGATTTTCTATGAGCTTGAACTTCTCCTGCCTCTCACTCTCAAGCTGTGAGATCAAAGCACTGACTTGGGATAAGCTGGTCTGAAGTTGCTCCTGCAGCTGAGACTCTGTGCTGGCCCACTGATGGTGGAGAGCGATGAGCGTCTCCTGATTATGGCCATGCTGGCTTTCGAGCTTCATCGTTACATCTTTGAGTTTTTCCTCTGTTATATAAAGTTTGGTTTCCAGGGAATGGATGATTGAGAGATAGGTCTCAGAGTCACTTGTCCCTGAAGATGGGTAACCAAGAGCTGGCTCTGATGACATGCTTTCTTCAGACAGTGATCTGTCTTGGCTCGTGTCTGAAGAGGTACTGCTTGTCCAGTTTTTCTCTGACCCATCCGGATGGATGTATTTTTGGCACTGGATGCTCGAGAAACGGATTCTTTGCCTCTTGGCCCCCATGATTCCTACATCAGGCTTTGCTAAGGCTTTCTGAACTAACTCTTGGTCCTGGAGCTCCACAGCTTTGGACGGGGATCCAAATTCCTCTGCTTGCCTCTGGCTGGTCTCAAGAACCTCCTCTTCCTCCTCCTCCTTCAGTGCGTAAGTCAGAGCTGGGAGGACATCCTGAGTTTGCAGAGGCTGCCCTAGTTGGGATGGATGACTTTCGTCAGCCTCAAGATTGGGGCCAAGGTCTTCTGCCTCCTCAGCACACAGACCTGTGCCCACACTAGATAATTTCTTTAAAGCCTCCTCCTTGGCCTTTAGCTTTATTTTAGCCTCCTCTAAACTGCTATCTAAAGCAACCATTTTAACCAAAGCCTCGCTGAGATCTTGATCTTTCTTCTCCACAATTCTCAAGTGCATTTCCTTAACATGTCTCAGCTCTTCTTCTTTTTCTTTCAGCACCTTCTGCACACCCTGGAACTGATCTGACATCTCCTCCAACGACTGTTCCAGATTGTGGTAGTTGGCCTCTTCCATTTTCAATTTTGCTTGCAGCTTTGCCACTTCGTTATCTGACTCGGCCACCTGATTCATGAGCTCGTGGAACCGACATTTGATCTGATCTCTCTCTCTTTCGAGCTCCTTGATGTGCTCTGCGAGTTTCTGGACGCTGGCCTCCTTCATCACCAGCTGCTCCTCCAGCTGGTGGACAAGCTCGCTGCCTTCGAACTTTGCGCTCAGCTTTTCCTTCTGCAGAATCTCCATTTGCTGCTCGGTATTTTGCAGCTGGTTCTCATACTCATTGGCCTTATCCTCCACCTCCTTCAGACTCCGTATTAAAACCTGCTTTTCCCTCTCGCAGCTCTCCAGCAAAGCCTCGTAATTCCTCTGCAGCTTCTCCTCCATGAGGATTCGCGCTTGCTCGCTAGCGTTCAGCTGCCCGCTCAGGTCCGCAATCCTGTCTTGGAGCCTCTGCACCTCCTTCTGATGGTCCCTCTGCAAAGCTTGCTGCATCTCCAGGTCCCGTAGCTCCTGGGTTTTCTCCAGGAGCAAAGCCTCCGCGCTCTTCAGCTTCTGCTCGCTGGCCTTCAGCTGGGAGCTGAGTGCAGCCTCGCCGTGCTGCCACTCCTCCAGCTGCTCTTTGGCCTTCTCCTTTTCGCTCCTCAGGTCGCTCTTGAGCTTGGCTAGGGTCTGCTCCTTGATGGAGAGCTCGGCCGCCGCGTTGCTGAGCCTCGCCTGCAGGCTCTGAATCTCAGCTTCGTGGTGCCGGATCACGTCCTTGGCCTCGGCGTAGCTGCGCTTCAGCGACTGAATCTGCTGATTGATCAGCTCTTGACGCTGGCATTGGGCTTCCAGCTCGCTTTGGAGGTCTTGGTTGACTTTGTGGAGCCTCTGCCAGGCACCTGATGGCGAGGCGGCCACCTCGGTCTTAAAAAAATTGATTAAATACTAGATTAGTAACACTCTTGGCTCTCCCTCCTGAGTGTCACACCTCTGGCCAGACAGGCCACGGAAAAGCTCCTCGCAGCGATTTGGCTGCTAGCCACATGCTCCAATTGGGATGATTTGTTCTTGGCACAATTTGTTTGTTTTAACCAACTTTTTTTTTTCTTTTTTTTTTTGCAACAACTGCTTTCCAGTTACAGAAAACACGGACCACAACATCAAAACAGCTGTACAGTTAACAAGCTAAAAGGAAAACAAAATAAACCAAAATCAAACAGAACCAAAAAAACAATGAAAAAGAAACACCGGCAGTAAAACAGAGACGGATAGACGAGAGAAAAAACGGGAAGGGTGAGAAGGAGGAGGGGATGGGAACAGGTCAAGAAGAAAGCAACTGCTTTTTTTAGCGTGTTTGTTCGTTTTGTCGCGAAACAAAAAGTGCACAGTTCAGGTAACACAGTCCTACTGACTAAAAGCGACAACGGAAAGTGAGGTGACAAAAAATGACATCACATCCCACCCAAACGCAGGGAGACAGGACAGCCGGCGTGGCGATGTCATTTCTGTGACTGCCAAACAGGGCTTAGTGGCTGCTCATCGCGTTAAAGGGATGTTGTTAACGCTAAAGTTTAAGACTAGGGAGGATCTAATTTCTCTACCTGCAAAAAAAAAAAAAAAAACAAAACCCAAACTCAAAACAACAAAGGACAAAATAAAAAGCCCGACAAGTGAAGGGAGGGAAAAGGTGTGATGAGAATGTAAAATAAAAGGAACCAACCTTTGTGAGATTCAAACCAAAGCAATGTAGCATGCAAAGAGAAAACTCGAGAGAGAGAGTCATGCAAAAGGCGACAGAAATTATGTATCTTTTAAAAAAAATACACAGACAGGAAGAGGCGAGAGAAGCACAGCGTTAAGCCTAGGAATTTGGCCTGCCTTGCTGTACTCTGGTTGCTGATAAGGAAAGCCCACAGATGTGACACTCAGTTATGTTAAGTTAAATCTCATGCTTTATACCAAAAACATGCAAGAATATCCGCCCGGGACAGGTTAGTACGTGACCCCTCCCGCCCACCGTGACCAGAGCCGGGGGACATCTCCGATCCGTTTGCGAGGAGCAGGAGCTCCTGCCATTAATCCCAGTAGGGTTCCCCGTCCCGAGGAAGCTCAGAGCGAGAGAGGAGTTACACGAGGCCAGAGAGGCTTCGGTGCACGGCACATGCATCAGGTGGGGCATCTCGGCAGCTGCCTTACGAAACGTGCAGTGTCTTTTATGTCGGGGGAGGGGGTGGAGGCTGGTCGTGCTGCCAAGGAGGGGCTGGTGCCCCCCAGGCAGCTCAGGAGGGGTGGACTGGCAGCAGTCAGGCTCCTCCATCATCCCTCCCCATAGACAACGTAGGAATCTCTCCAAAATCAGGCACGATGGAAGTGGGGGGCACACGAAATTCAGATGGTCCATCCAAAAAAACAAAAGGTTGTGATGTTTGCCCACTGTCTGGGGCTGCAGAAACCCCCCCAGTGATTTCAGTCCCTTCACCCCAACAGGGTTTGATGGGGTTACTCCCTTCTGCTACAGGACTTTAATCCTTCTGCTCCCAGGGAAACAAAAGGGAAATCCCCACGACAACTAGAATGAGAGCAGGCAAAAGCCTCCAACTCTTCCAAAAACCCTCTCCAACTTCTAGCTCAAAGTCTGGGTCACTTCTTACTGCCGTGATGATTTGCTCAGCCCTTCTGCAGACGTTCCCCCTCTTGCCCTCTCCTCCTCATATTGAGGCTCTATGGCCAACTTCAACATGGCCAACCTGATGGTGGATTCAGCATCCAGCTTTTAGCTCCATTCCCTGATTGTTCCGGGCTCCAGGCAAAGGGAGGTCGGATGTCTTTGCCCAAGGGAAGGGGGAGTCAGTTACTCTTCCAACACTGCCAAGTGAAAATGGAACTCCTCTGAGCAAGCACTGCTAGCTCAGGGGCTCCAGAAATAAATGCATTAGTAACTCCTCCAAGGAGAACACCGGCAAGGAAGGCAAGATGCTCCCCTGCCCGGGCTGGCCCCACTGCCTGGGCAACTTCTTCAGGGGGAATTTCTCCCATGAGAAATAAGGACATAAGGTTCAGTGCTGACACTGCGTTTGCTGTCACAGGAGGACAGCCACTTTGACCCATCAGTTTGGTCAAGGAGATCTGAGCAGGCCAAAATGCTGCCCCTGCACAAAACGGGACTATGGACCCATGAGAGCAGCCAGAAGCTGCCCCGCAGGTGTCCTGGCTGCTCCGGGCACAGATGCTCCCAGAAGACGGGCTGGAAAAGGTCCGCTTTGTTTGGAGGAGGAAAGGCTTCCCAAGAGACTCTCCCATCTTTTTTGCCAGAACCCCTGAACCACACTTCTAGGCTTTGCTGAGGAAAAGCATCTTGTAACAGAAGAAACCACCAAAGTGATTCAAGACAACAAGTCGTCCTGGTGCAAATCCCACTCTGGCTGGGGGTAACAAGATCTGGAGATATGCCTGCGTGTGCTGTGTTTGCCCGTGTAAATGCCACACAAAATACCCAGCCAGGAGAAAATGCTGGGTTACAAGATGCTTAGAAAGCCTTGCGTGCACCCCACTGCCCAAGGGGAACACCTGGGGCATGGGAAGAGAGAAATAGCTGTTACACAGGCAAATACAGCACAGGATGGATCACAGGTGGACTTCGCTGAGGTCCCATCTGTCTACCACGGCTGTTTTGTTTTCCCTCGGGGAAAACCAGTCGGTAATGCTATCTTCTGCCTACTGCATCCCCGATGACAGGTTTTGTTAAGCAGATGATCCTAGTAAGGCTACAGAATCGGCAATATTTGCAAGAAATGGAGCCCACTCAGTGGTGCACATCTCTGCATCAACCAGGATGCCTCCAGGAGCACCCTGGTCTGAAGCCCACCCAGGTCCTCCACTGGGCACAGAGGAAGGATTCCTCTCTCCTCCTCGCTCTCTTACCTGCAACACGTAGCCCTCCCGGGCGCTCTGCTCCCGGCCCAGTGCCACTTTCAGCTGGTCCTGCAGGTGCCGGTTCTGCTCCAGGAGCTCCAGGGCCTCCTTCTGCTTCTGCTCGAGCTGGAGGGACACGAAGAGAGACAGCGTCCAGGGAGTGGGCAGGGGGTCAGCCGTAAGGAGCAAGTGGCTCAGAGGGGACGTAATGTAGAAAGAACGGGGCTTTTGATGGCACCGCCGCTTTGCTCTGCTCTGGGATCTGGATTTCATTTTGCCAGGCAAAATCCCTCCCCCTTGAAAGAACTAAGTTACGCAGTAATTTAAGTCGCAAAGCTCACTGCAGCAAAGGGCGAACGGCACCAGCTCGTGCCAGGCATGACCCAGGAAAATCCCAGCCCGGTTCAGATCGGCGATACTCCTGGTTACTCCCCGCCTGCACCCCCTTCCTTCAGCTAATACACCTTAATCCCAACTAACAACAACCTTTGTTGTCCCAGGCGTGGACCTCTTCCAAGTCAGCTGAGTCTCCACCTTTCTTTTCCTAGAATCCTAAGATCGCTTGATGTAGGCTCCACAAAAAGGGAACCTTTGTGGTGTGTGCTGCAAATTCAAGCCAGTTTACCCTTTTGTGGACATAACTGCAGATACAAATTTCTACGGCTGCAGAGGCACGTGGAATTACGAGCTTGAATTTAGAGCCTGGTTAATACACATCAGTTGTACCTGTCTCAGCAGAGGCAGGCTGGCTACCAACCAACAAAAGTGTAGGCTGTGTTAAATGGGAGGGGGGAACGAAATACCACCCTTGCAGGAACAGCCGTTACTGCAGCCGTGGAATACAAAAGCTGCTGGTAAAGCCATATGGAAATGGACACGGATCTGTGCCCTGCCAGGTCCCCAGGGGACCTTAGAGCATCCCCACTCGTTGCTATTACAAAGCAGGAATAAATGCAGCTTTTTCAAGCCTTCTTCAGGCTTCCTACAGTTCCTGCGGTGGCCTGAAGGCCGTTTCAGCAGGCAGCCTGCACCCCACTTTACCTCCTTCTCCAGCAGTGTGGTCAAGTGCTGCTCCCTCAGCCCCTCATCCCG